TGTCATGATTTTGTCTGCCAGTCTCTGAGGCCCTGCACAGGCTAGTGGAGATAGACAGGTGTTCGTTTAGATTCTCTATAGCACTACAGCTCTACAGCCACTACTGCTGAAGCCTGCTAAATGGTGGCCTTCCCGCTCGATTTAGCACGTATATTATGTAACTTGTTAAATCTCCATGGTCCATGCCATGATGAGGCCTGAATGACCTCAGTGTCTAAAAAATACTGTAATAATAAGTACTATTGCTCATTTTCTTCGTCTGCTTTCTCGAGTACTGATAGTGCACTTCGAAGCTTTCATAGAGCGATGGAAGGAGCGACGGTACTTGCTCTGTAAGCAGGTTAGTAAGGATAGGCCAGCTTGAGCTTCACGTTCAGTAGGCCATGTCTCAACAAGTAACTTGATCTTGAGTTCAACCTCTGCCCCCTGTTGTCGTACTCAGTACCCTCCTATCTCTTCTGATCTTCGTCCCTCGGTCTTTTTTTCGAGGTGATCTGAATCATCTATTTTAGTAGGCCCCAGGAGAATAGTCAAGAGAATGTGAAAATCGTGACAACGCTTTCATCCTGATTCGTGACACCATTTCCAGCAATAAGTAAGCAAGGCGATGCAAGGATAGGAGGACACTGTTTTTCCAAAAGCCAAACGAAGGCTTTTGAAGGATAAAATCGGTCCCTCCTCATTTACGTCTCTCTCACATGAAGATTCCCGCACACAGAGAACAGCAGGCACGCAAATCAACCATTCAGACCCAGATCCATGCCCAAGTCAAGGTCCAGATCGAGATCCATGTCCAGGTCCAGTTCCAGATCCCAGTCCTTCGTGGCCTCTGCCAGCTCTTCGACGGTGATACGGTCAGCCAGGGGCAGAAGCATACTGTGTACCAGCGAGCCCAACTCAGCTTCTTCGCTGCTCGTGTACAAGGTGTCCGAGAACTCGAGCTTGTCACGCATCCTGCCCACCTCGCTGAGCCAGCTTGTCATGGCGTCCCGGCTGGCGGAGTCTCTGGCATGGTGGACATCCTTGATGAGCCACTCACGGTGCTCGTTGTGGACGCGGTACCAGGTCTCGGGCAGAACGCAACGCCGCATCAGGTACAACATGACGACTCCGAGGGCGAAGACGTCGCATGGTGTGCCGCGACGACCTTGTTCCAAGTACTCTGGCGCGATATACCAGGGCGAACCCTCGCTGTTGGCAAGGCCGCTGTGACCTGCGAGACCAAAGTCCACCAGCATGGCGCCGCCCTCTGCAGCCTGGTAGGGCCCAACAGCGGGCCAGGAGATGTCGGTATAGAGAATGTTGGCCGGCTTGATATCGTTGTGCGCGATGCCCTGCTCGGCTAGGAAGGCGACCGCGCTGGAGATATGGGTTAAGATGCAGATGGCATCCCTGACACTGCCAAGAAAGTATCCGCGCTGCTCTCTCTGTCCGGCCTGTCCAGCCTGGGCGCACCAGCGGGCATTGGCAAGGTCCTTGTGTGGCTTATACGCAAGGTGGAGAGCCATCGTGTGGGCGTCGGATCCTCGAATACTAGCAAAGTGGTTCTGAAGAGAAAGAAAAAGACAAACTCAATCAGCGTACGCCCTTCATTGTGCAATTTACAAAGTGTATAATCAGTAGTACTTACGTGCTCTAGGTTTCGGTGTGCGGCGAATCCAGCCGACCATGCCCCAATGGCGTTACCATAGTTGGCTGTGTCTTTAGATGATGCCGATCTTATAGGGCGAAAAATAGGCATCTTGAAGGCCACAACGCTGGAAGACCCGAGCGTGCCGCTGCCGCCGCTGCAGCTACTTCTAACGCTGCCATTACCATTGTTAGGGAAGGAGAGGGGCTGAGCGCTCCCAGAATGGCTGCTTTCTCGTCTGTCCGTGAATTTGTTGACAATCTCCTGGATTGCCGGTTGGTGGTGATTGTGGTGATGCTGCTGCTGCTGCTGCTGCTCCTCCCATTGGAGACTGTTGCTTGGCCGCATGCGCCCCGGTGTGGTGTGGTGGGGGGCCAGGGCAGGTAGGTGTTCCAACACAGTGCCCACTGCCTGTGAACCGGAAGGGAACGCTCCAGAGAGCCCCCTAACCCTCTTGGACGATTGCTGCACATCATCGGTGGATCTCTTTTTAGATCCTAGTGCAAGCTCCGCCGACTGTCCATCCTCATCCTCATCCTCATCAATCTCGTCTTCGACAACGGAGGGATGATAGGGGCGGGGCAGGACCTGTAGCTCGACGGAGCTCGTTGGATCAGAGATCCGCCAGCAAGCTGAGTCGATAATCATCATGGCCCAGGGGTGGACCTGATGTTGGATGCCATTCTCCATGGGAGGGAGAGCCACCACCGACAGAGGCTCTTCACCCATGTTGACAAGCACCACCCCATCAGAGGCTGGGATGTAATGAAGGTTGCACTCAATGGTGCCCATCTTGAGGGTACATTTGACCTCATCGTGGCTTTGCGATGCGGCGGCGGCAGGGAGTTCGAATGAGGTGGTGGAGGAGGACAAGCAAGAATCACTCTGCCATATGGTGGGCTCCACAGCCAGCTCGCATGCTTCCCTGGAGCGGATGGATATGGTGGGGTTTCCATCCGTGTGTCTGAAGATGATTCTGGGATCTCGCAGTGGTCTGAAACCATCGATAGTAGGCATCCTCTTCCTAAGGCGGTCTTGACGAGCCATAGCCGTAGCCAGGACATCCCTAGAGATCTCTATTGCCGGTAGAAGTATGGCACCCGCACGCTCGGTGCGGACTCGCAACTCGGCCGACCTGGCATCCACGTAGTCAGGACGATGAGGAACTGTTGTCTGGCTGTCCACGCTACTCATTCTTTGGGTTTATCTGACAATCGATTGGCAGGTCTGATCATTCAAGGGAACAGTAGTATACAGATGAATCGAGAGGAAGAGAGGAAGGAGGAAGAACAGGGAGATTACAAGAGAATATACGAAAAAGAATATGAAATTAGCCTGCTGCCTGCGCAACCTGACTTCTCCACAAAACAAAAAACAAAACTCTTGTCTCACATATCGAGGGAGGTTAGGAGAACGAGCAGAGCAAGGGAGAGAAGTCGATTGGAATGTATGAGGGGTGCGGCGCGTACTGCGGCCGCACTATCCGGGAACCAATGTATCTACCTACCCCTGTGTGTTCTTGGGCAGTATTGTGGGCTGTCTTGTCTTCTTCTTTCTTTTTCTATTAGTTGGCCTTTTGCCAGCGATGCTGGTGGTAGTGGTAATAGTAGTAGTATGTGTGGGCCTGCGTGTCCACGAGGGCCCGCACAAGCAAATCCACTTAAGGGCCCCTCTGCATCCCCATCGTAACATAAGCACGGGCTGTGGGACATCATCCAGTTAGCCCTAGTGACTCGCAAAATGGCCAGGATATGTAGATGGAGTTACCGTGGTCTAGAAGCATTTGAGGAAATCGAATGTTTGGAGGCGGCTTGGATATCTTTGTTGCCGCCCTTTGCCTTATCACCACAAGCTGGGAGCGCATCTTTCCATCCTTCTTCTTTTGTTCGAGGGAGATGTTAGCACGCGTTTATCCTGCCAGCACATTACTGATAACCCACCTCTCTTGAAGTTTTTAATCAGATCATCCTCCATGTCGGGACGAAGCAAGACGCAGACTCTACAATGCAGTAACTGGGCTGAATCTAAGGTCTGCGCTCCAAAACTTTTTAATAATACTATGAAATGACGAATAAAAATATATATAATTAATAAATAAAGTAAACAAGAAGACGGCAAGCACGTATCAGGAAACTGCGGTTGCCCGAATAGGCAAGGTCGCTTGGCGGCTCGTCTTTCGTACAACCTCCTCTCCTCTCCACTTCCTTCTTCTGTCTCCCTTCCCACAATCCTGCCTGCGCCTTCGCTTTGTCCGCTCTCGGCTTCACTTCTGTTCCTGCGGCTCCTTCTCGTCAGGCGTTTTTCTCATTGCAAGGCGTTTTCCTCGTTGCATTGATTGCCATTCCCCTTCCACCGCCCTCTGCGAGGACGTCATTCATCTCCCTCAGCTCGTTGGGATTCCTTCGCGCTGTCATGCACACGCACACGAGGCATCAGGCACTCTCCTCCAGCACGACTTTGGTAGAGTCCTTTTGCGCACATCCGACCTGCACTCAGTGCCAGCTAGCCTTCACAGAGCCCTCCGTCTTCACCTCCACCACATCAAACATTCTGAGGCAGTTTTCGCCTCGTATGGACATGGCCAATACGAGGGGAGGGAAGTGGCCAGAGGGCGAGGGCGGGAAGAGGGCGTTCCTGGAATGGCGCGCTGCTGATCGCTGCGTTCCCAGTCGCCAGACACCTACCACACGCGCTACGCCATAGCGATGCCTCATGGGTGCACAGCCGGCGAGCATTAGCAACACGAGATGGGCTGTGTCAGGATCCGAGCTCATTTCATCCTCTTTCATGCTCGTCCGCATGAAACGCATTCTGTTGCATTGCGCTGCGCCAGCGCGGTCAGCGCCGCTTCGTCCTCCTCCACAATGCGCCAAGCTCCTCAATATCCCGATCTAGCCAATCGATTCATCTCGGCTGTTGCCTTCGCCTCCTCTGCTGACGCGGTTGTGTGCCTCGTCCGTTTACAATTGTACGATATCAGGCCCAATCGGGATTCCCGATAATTGCTGCTGAAACGATCATAATTGGGAAGGTGGCAATGCTGAGATCCATGTGCTTGGTAGATTGGGGCATAATGATAGTGGTGGCTTGCGAGGCATTTTTTGCATCATCCTGCCTGGACGCCACGAAGGCGTGCAGTTTTCATGCGCTATTCTCTAGGACCAGGACGCTGCTGCGGTGAAACTGCTGCGGTGAGGCTTCTTTCAGCTTGGATGGGGTGGGATCTTATCCCCTTCATTATGCCTGGGTGTGGGTGTGGGTGTGTTGTGACCGGTGGCGCCCGCCAAGCTCTCGAGCATTTAAACCCAGGCATACCCCCATTCTTCTGAAGAGAGAGACAGGACAGGAGACACTTTCAAACTTCGCACCCATGGCCACGGTATCACAGACTCTCGCGCAGTTCCGCTTCCCGCCAACACGACAATTCATCTCTTACAGTGGCCCACCTAAGGCCAAGTGCAAAAAGCGGACTGTCCCCTTGCAGCACATCAATGATATCTTTCCAAGCGACGTCGAGCCCGGTGCGGCTGATGCAAGCGTTGAGAAACGGTCACCGACTATCGAAAAACTGCTTTCAGTTAATGTGGGCGGTACAACAAATCCCATCACAATAGAATCCGACACTAGCGAGCCAGAAACGGACGTCAGCTTGCACCTTCACGACGATCAGGACGAAGATGACGACGAGGATTTCCCATCAATCTCCAAGCTGCTACGACGGAATGCAAGCCTTCGCGGGAACGATCCAGCCGATCAGCCTCAATGCAGAAATGACGTTCCACGACACTCGCCACCGCCGTCGAATGATGGCAATGTGGACACAGCGAACACAGCTATGACCCAGGCGGAAAGTAATAATGCCGATAATGGATCCCAGGGAGATTTTAGAACTGGTGAACAACGCGGCGACAACGATAGCGGCAAGGAATTCGACATGTCGGAGCATTGCGGACCGGACAATGATGACGCTGATAGTAGTGCCTCTGGTACTCCTGGCGACGCTGTTGGTGCTGCTAGTTGCAATGGCATCACTCAGAGCGCATTATCTTTGGGGGCATTGCAGAAGAGCAGAAAACATGGCCGGGAAAGTCCTGAGCACCAGTTGGTCAGAAACTACGACGAAGACGACAATACGGAAGACGAAAACCAATCTCATTCTTCAGAAGTGATCCGAGCAAAGTCATCTCCAAGCAAACGACAGAAAACGATGCATGCTATATCCTCTCTTGGTTCTACTGCCAGTCATGCTCAATTCGATGCCTGCGAGACTACTCCTACCGCCCTGAACAGCACCTCCAGCTTGAGTACCTGCAGCAGTGCAAGCGAAGTTGGCGTTATCTCTGGTACGCGTCGCACGGACGATGACACGAGCATTCCAACGAGCAACACTGGTACGGCTGACAAGGCCAGAAATGGACACAACACCAGTTCGCTTCAAGTTGATCAGATTTCCGGCTCGGACGACGAAGATGCAATTGGTCGTGACGGGCAAGAATTGCGTCGCCTGCGAGAAGCCACAACATCTAACTTGGACGGTAATGATCACCAAATCCGTTCACTCAACGAAAGAGGAAGACCAAGTCGTGGCATGCGCATGCGGCGTCCAACGAAAGAGAGCAAAAAGCATTAGCGAACATCCAAGCGGATCAAGCAGAATTACACCACCCCCTCAAATGGTTTCAATAATTCGAGCAATGACTCCGAGTCCGAGTCACCAATGTCCCTGCGAAAATCTCCACTGTCAAATCGACGGGACACGCGAGCTTCACGAGACCTCTATGCAGCCGAACGAACGCTTCGGAAGCGGCCCTATCGACATTCAACGGGTCTTCATCATGCCACTTCACACCTTGAAGCCGGAGAGACGCAACTCGATGGTTCGAATGCACTCTCAGGGACACCTCCAACACGCGTTGCACATGTCACGATCCTCCCGGTCTCCAGGTCCGTGTCTGTACTCCTTGCTTATGGCAGAGGTCACCAGGTGCCGATGTGGTACGATAAAGAGCTTGCGTCCGCTATTGATGAGGAAGTTGGTCACACGTTGAAACCTACGAGCATCGTGATCAAGCGACTATCAGCCAGGGACTGGCTGTTAACCGGGCTAGTCCTCGGACAGGATGACGATGAAGATGTCCAAACTGGTGAAGGCCAGTCAACCGCGCAAGCGACTCAGCCTGCAGAACGAACCCCACGATCCGCATTACGTCCACGGCGCGGGAAACAGAGCAGTAGCGTTCTCCTTAGGGGCGACCGCCACCAGTCAGGCGGCAGGGACGAGGACGGTGACAGCAGCAGCGACGCCAGCAACACTAGCGGCGCCTCTCGCAACCGGCAGGAGTATTCTCAAGAGCTTTTCGAGCAAGACAACAGCGAAGAAGAGTCTGATGACCTCGACGGCAGCAGCGGTTGGAAGTCCAGTCACATCAAGGGGTTCGGGTTGGGCCACATCCGAGGATGAGCACCTCCGCATGTGGGTTGGAGGGGATGCGAGGCCAAAATGGAAGGATATCTGCCGGCGATTCCCGATGCGAACTGACTCCTCGGTGCGCCTGCGTGGGCACCAGATACGGAAGGAGATGGTTTGAACATGGGGAAGCAAGGGGATTTGGTTTGGGTTGGACGGTGCGAAACTATTGGACATGCAGTTGGTCAGGTTCCGGGCTGCGATCAATTACCGCACTGTGACTCATTAGACTATACTTAACCAGAGCTCCAAGAGTTGACTCACAAACCACCGTTCTCCCTATCAACTTTAAAGTGCGCCTTTAGCTCCCAAGGCATGCAGGTGCAAGCGCTTGTAAACAACCCACCCGGAAAATAATTGAACGACCCAACCCTTCACTTTGCCTCTTTCCATTCTTGATCTATTGCGTTGCTCTAGAAGAAACGGTCAAATCACGTGATATTAAACAGCTACGTCATTGTACTTTGTGGATTCGCTGAGCACCTCTGTAGTCACAGCCTCGTGCTACATTGAGTCAATTCAACAACTACTTTCCGTTACCATTGTCTTTCATTGCTGGCCTCTGCCAAGGTAGAATGTCCGCCCGATGAACTCATCCGACCTGCCACAACCTGATCCTGTTTCCTCCACTCGTCGCAACCTCAGGAACATAGGGGAATAAGACTTTCATACATAACGTAGCATTACTCAGCCCACATCAGAAAGCATTGCTTTTTAATAATGCTAAGACTATATTGCAGCCTGGAATTTGATTCTGCACTAATCGGATCAACATTAAAATAAAAAATTCGAGCTGTGGCTGTGTTCAAAATCAGTGCACGCGCGGAGGGACCAGGAACCGGGACCGGGCTAAGGAGGCTGTGCTACTCGGTCCTAGAGTATCGGAAACTGCCGCTAGCGTGACGAGTCTGCCTTGTCCTCAGCGTGTCTGCGTGATCCAGATAAATAATCGTCCAGCCTGCTGGCATCCTCTCTGTTTCCGCTACTGAATAAGAGATCCAACGTATGGACGACAAGGTAGCAAAGATCCGGGATCCAAGATCCGAGCGATGATAAGATCATAGAGAGATGCAGGGAGCAGGTGGGTGCTACGGAGGTGTGCGGCAAGCGCGATCTGACTGCCATTGTGCTCAGATCGAATGCATAAATTATGCAAAGCCAGAGTGGTACTCCCACAAGGACTGCGACGAGATAACCCCTGCTGGCGATACCGCGGCCATTGTCGTCGACGCTCGTACCAACGAGGCAGCGATCCGCATTTTCGACTCGACGACCAAAGAGCGTGTCGGTTTCGTGGGCATAGAGGAGCAGGGGAATGTTGTGATTGTGCCATGGCGGGATGGCTGGTACTACTTTTGCACGAGATCACCTAGGGTCGCGCATGTTAAGAAGCAAGGCTAGGGTGGATTGGCCTTCATGTACTGTAGGCACTCCCGTTCATGAGCTCTACAGTTACTCTATCTGACATAGGAGTCTAGATGCCGCATTGCCCGTCTAGAGTAAGTGGGAGAAAAACATAGTTGTAGGGAGCCAATCCGAGATCCAAGACTGTCTTAACACTCTCGTCAGAAATCGGATACGATTGACCCACAAAAGAGCCAGAATTGAACCCAGTGGAACCATCGACATTGAGCTGCATAGGGATCTGGAGACTATGCGTGCTTGCTTGAGGCTCTGCGTGCTGGTTCGGTGCATCCAGCGCAAGGGGTGATGCAACCAGCGCTTCGTCTGAGTATCTTGCCCTTTTCGGCGACTCTTGTTCTAGGCATATCAGCTGTGCTTTATATGATTTAGAAAGGTTCCCGTACCTATGTTCTCAGAATCCTTCATCAGTTGACGCTTCCGACAGGACACGAGGTTTTCGAGCGAATGTTCCCTGAGCAGCGTTCCACACAAGTCAAGTCAAGGCAAGCGGTACCCCTCCACTTGGCTTGCTAACTATTTTGGCCGCTTGCTTATCTTGCAGTACTTCGCCACTTGATTTGCTTGTCCGCTTGATTAAAAAAGCACCTTACCTAATCTAGCCTAGATTGAGTCATATTTCTAGCTTATATAAGCCTGAATTATGGAAGTTATGATTATATAAGCTAAATTATATAAGCTAAAATTCTAATCTTATCTTATCAGGGTTAGGGTTTACTTTTCTTTCCAAAAAAACCCAGAAAATTAAAAGAAAATAGAAAGAAGTGGAGTAAACTGAGCCTATAAGGACCCACTATAGGACTGAGGCCACTTGCTTGTTCGCTTGCAAGCCGCTTGGTCAAAAAGGCCGCTTGCTTTGTCTTGAAGACCATCGCCAAACCGTCAACTTCACTTGTCAAGTGGCTTGAATCCGCTTGACTTGTGTGGAACGCTGAGGGCGCTGATGCAGTCTGTCATCAACCCTCCAGTGTGTCGCTCCCACACCCGTTGCTTGCTTGCTTGGAGAGCGGAGGCAAGGTCGGGACCTAACACGGTAATTGCATCAATGTGTGCTTCAGAGTACTTGTACTCAATCTCTATTTTTGAGTCAGCCAAGCTGCCATCGCCGAAGGGGCCATGTTGCTCACGTCTTTCAATAGAAACAGGGTTGGCAGTCGGTAGAGTAGCGTCCAATCCGTCCTCAGGTCTATGCGGCTCACTCATGCTACATTGCGTTGCACATGTAATGCCGAGCGTCAGGGCTGCATCATCTAAAATGGCGTGTTCGAAGGTATTGCGGTTGCTCTTGAGATATCCCAACAACGAGATTCGTTCCATATTCTTCAGTTCCACGATTCTTCTCTTTCCAAGACTCGATGAGCAGAGAACCACAATCCCGCCACCACACTGTTCTAGGACATCCTGGAGGAACCTTTTGTAAATCTTATCTCTCCGATCTGTTGTTTCGCTTTTCAAAATCTGGGCCGCCGACGTGGCAAGGTTTGCCGGATCATCTAAGCGCTGTAAAACCTGGAGCGGGGTCAAACTGGCTTTGAGTTTTCTCTACACAAGTTTTGACGGGCCCCGGTAACGTTTCGAGGACCGAGATTTTGCGTCTTGTAAGCTCAGTCTCCATGGAAACAAGCATTTCTCGACTGAGTCGCAAAAGCTCTTCAAGTTCTTGTGTGGCAACATCATCGTAGCCATCGTGGAAGTTGAAGGACGCTTTGCCTTTCGTGCTCAATGTAATGCCAGGTTCGTCCATGGCGATCGTAGAACGAGGGGGAAAGAAGGTGATGGTGGGAACGTTGAGGGGTTTGACCAGTAAATTCAAGGGCACAACCCGGGAAATACATGGGAAATGACTGGGAAAACATGGGTAAAATCTCAGTAAGATTGACTGTGGGTCTATGACCGGACGATCCTCGGGTGGCGTGAGTAGGCAGAACAGTGCAGATGCACTGTATTCATTCTCGATTTCGAGTATTTCTGGTCCTAGATGATCGGCCACAGCCTGGGCGGGCAAGTTGCCGACTGACAACAGTTCATTCGTGCATGCGGCCCTGTGACAGGAGCCGAAGCAACCGGGCTGAGTCACTATTGGACTAGCGACCCACCGGAGTTTGGGTCGGTAATTGCTTGGAAGGTGGCTGTTGCCACCTGGGATATGCTGGGTAGGATCTGGGTAGGATCTGGGTAGGATCTGGATAGAACCTAGGTAGAACCTAGGTAGAACCTAGGTAAGACTTGGGTACAATCTGGATTCAGACTAGGCCTAATCTATCCATGGCTCGGGTCTTCTTTTCCTGGTGAAATACGATCCCAGTCACTAGATGACGTAATCAATTTTTGCCGATCGGAGGGGCCCACATTCCAGATCTGGTCAATTAGCCTTAATGGCTCTGCCTTGCGAAGGTCTCTGAGAGCTTTCTGTTGTAGTTCCTACCGCAGAACTGATGAAGATAAGTGAACTTATTGCTTAATCCCTGAATATTCAGTCTTAACAAGAAATTCGTAAACTCTGTTTATCAAGAAGGCATATCGCTATGACAGTTAATTGATTTAATGTGAAAATACCCCGTAGTTCACGCGCCGTTCTTGTTCGTTGAATCATCCTGAATCTAATCATCCTTTCTCCAGTGATTGCCCTGTTCTTCCCCTCCTTCTCTATGAACAGTTGGTGCCATGATCGCCATCATATCATGACTGGTAGGCGGTTCATAATCTTCTCCATCACGGGGGGTCAAGGGCTGTCCTTTCTCATTAACCTCTACCGTTGGTGCCACAGGCTCCACGATATCATGCTTGGCCCTAGGAGACTGTCCTGAGTTGGTAGACGTCTCAGTAGCCTGCGTCTTGGTGGATGGAGGCTCGGAAAAGGAGGCGGGGATTTTGGTGTCTGCTTTGCTTGGTTCCATAGTTGCCCTGTTCATGGGTAGTAGAATGTAGAATGTCAGTTTAGACTTAGGAAGGTGCATTCGGTTCATTTATAATCGAGGGATACAAGAGGTACTGAAGTCCAGGAGACGAGGGTCAGCAGAAGTGCAGACACGTAGTGCTGCAGGCTTTGAACACCGCCATCTCGTAAATGAATGTGCAGACTGCACCACCATCATGTAAGTTGGTTCTGGATGTGCCAAGCTGAACTGTGCTTGCATGATGGTGTCGACTTCACCGATCATCACTTCGTTCATAGGCCGCAGAGACGTGACCTGCATACCACCAGGCCAACTCGGGGTTCGAGGCTCTGACTAGTGCCAAAAGTTCTGGCGGAGAGTACAACTTGAAGATGAGTATTATAAACATGGGTAACAAGCCAGTGCGCTTACCGAGGTCCAATGATAGGTACGAGGTATATAGCTCTGTCCATCGCATGGGTAGGATAACATAGCAACTTTAGTTCTCTTGTATTACTTCCTATCAAGATTATTATTAGCCCACGAGACCTTTGAAACGTCATGGAAGCATTGCACATTAAGAACGGAGCTCGTTACTTGTTCGAGCTGAAATTAGAGAGAAGAGTGACCATCGAGTTCAAAGCCATTGACAGTGGATGTCTCAAACTGCCAGATTGGATGGTGAGATTATGAGAACTCGGCGCAGCCTTTTTACTGACTTCTTTCGGGTTTTTGATAATGGCATCTGGCTGCTCGCGGGGAAGATACAAGTGGAGCAAGTAGGAGACACACTCATATCACAGGAAGTCGTGCAAATTGTAGACTGTTCTCTTGTTATGGAGGAGGATGAGGATCGTTGAAGACAGCAGAGCCACTGAGACCAGAGAAGAATTGAGGAAAATTTAGCGAAGATGAGGCTGGGCGCTTGGTCGCCTGGAAGCAGGCTGCTGTGTATTTTGCGCTTGAATGAAGGCTACTTCTGTTTCGAGCATCCTCTAGTAGACCCATGCAATGAATAGTGGGGCTAAGAAAGTGATGGGCTATGTTTTGCATCTCCCAGATTTTCAGCTAAAAGTCCAGACCCACTTGTTGGTTGCTGCGACGAGAAAATTCGCGTAAATAGATTCGCCGATCCGTCGGTAGGGGAAAGAACGCCATAATTATGATGAGCGAATAGCCGGAGTATCCCTGTTCCGCCATGGTAGGTCGCAGTATAGGTATAGGCATTGCCATCGTACACCGGCTTCTCTCGACCATAGTTCTGCAGGCTATGCATGGCCCGGGCACCGATTGCTCCGTTATAGCGAGCTTGCCGCATCATCACCGCTGGAGATCCCTCCGGGCCCTTAGGTTCCAGAAAGAAGTTGGGCGCCATAATCCTATCTGTCGAAGTGGAGGGAATGATATAATATTGAAGCTCGCTGCGGATAGTCGGATGGAGCTGTTCAGGATAAGCGCTTAGAGCGATATCTGGTTTAGCAGCTGTTATAGTATTGTCAGTGAGTAGCTTTAGGTTTCCGAATATTATATTCTCAGTAGATGGACGGTTGTCCTCCTGAGGGCCAGCAATGACTGGTAGGATATATTTGCATATATCGCTTTTGTTCTTTGCTCTATCATTATCTCTTTAGCAGGTCTCGAAGGTAATATCTGGGAAGCAGGAGGGTGAGAGTGATGGCCTCGGGACAGCTAGTGCTGCCATTGTTTCCGCCAGATCCGGCTTTTGCGAACTCCAGGTTCGGTAGATCCCATGATCAGTCAGATGCTGTTCGAATCCAGGATTATAGGCCGATGACTTCCTGCTCTTAGTTGTCCTTGATATAGTTGTGATTGTTATTGGGTTGGTAGACCTGACTGCTTGGCTCTGGGATGAGGAGCTCATGTTGTCGGCAGTATGGTGCCTGCTCGGCGGAGCAGGAGCAGGATACCTTCGGAGGTCGCGCAGGTCTGGTCCGCCGTGGCGTGCAAATCGGTCGAGGGTAGCGGGCTCTGGAGGGGCAGGTCGTTCGCTGTTCCGCCGGTCCAACTCTTCCAGGGCCGAGCGGATCAGTGGAATTGTCGAGAGTCCGTCCCAGAACGCTGGTGGGTAGCGCCAGGGAGTGGGATGGTTGACGGAAGGCGGGTCGACACTCTCCGCTGGGGACTTAGCAGATGCTGTCTGCTGTCGAGGTGTCTGGGCTGCGCTCTTATCTGGCAGGGACTGGTCTATCTTCCGGGACTTCGCACAGCGACTGTGTTGCAAGCCGTCGTTTGCTCTTGTCTCTTCCGAACCTCGGGGATCGCCATAAAGGGCATCTCGCAGGAAACAAAAGTGAGCGCGGAACTTGATGATAATAAAGGGCATTGGTTGTATAAGAGCTAAAGTCTCATCGTTGGATCTTGTTGGCCATTCGATATGTACAGGGAGTATCAGCCAATAATTCTCTTACGATAAAGGGCATGGTCAGCGCTGGTGCTGACCGGTCCACCACGATAGGCGACTCATACCCATTATCTGTCCAGCAATGTTTGAGATATGGACACCAAACTTAGTCATAACTGTAATGATTCGTCCTAGGTAGGCGCTACCAATCTATAGAAGTGCTTAAATTGAATCGAAACCCAGACTCCATACGGAATTTTTGGGAAAAAGGCACAGCAGAAATACAATATTCCGAATAAGGACATTGTTAGGTCATGATTGTAATGTAATACTGAAGAAGGCGAGCCCGACGCGCGAGCGAGAAGCGCGAACTAACAGAGCCAGAACTGGCTCGATTGGAAGCTGTCAAGAGACCCCTCGCCGCGCTCCCCCTCCGGGGCACTTACAGGGCGCCCATAATTACAATTACTCACCCCCCCGATAGGCTTTTCACAAACTCCCTATTGTTGCCAATTGTGAGATTCGATGGTGGGCAAAGAATACTAGAGATCCAATGCGATATCTCTGAAAGCTTTATCATGCTGAGGACTCTGATGCCTAGATGTATCCAATGTTTTCGACTTCTGCTTTCCATTTCGAGAGTGTTAAGATGGAAGACAGCGTATCTGAATACAAGAACATTATAGCCACAAGTTGTTATCACTGATACCGGCCAGCCCTTCCAAGACCGGAGATCCTTCGCGATCTTCAACAGCCATATCGTGGCGACCACTGGGATCCAGTAGTCAGGTCTCTCGGTCTTGAGTATCCTCACTGCAGCTTCGTAGGATTTCTGACCAGCCAAGTCGTTCTCTAGCGAGACTTGGGCATGAGCTACAGAAAGGTGAATGATTGCTGTAGTGAACCCAGTGCCTTTTCTGAAGCTTGGGAGTTGTCGTGTAGCATCAAGAGCATGTTCCCAGCGCTGCAGAGCTTCGCTGTAATGGCCTCGGCAATGCTGAATACGAGCATTTGCCATAATGCTGCGGACATGCAGCAGCTCGTCGGTGATGTCCTGAACAGGTGGCGCAATGCCGATCAGCTGAAGTTGCTTTTCTGCATCCTCGAGCGCTCCCTTTCCCAGAGCAACCTCAACTGAGGCAAGCTGCAAGCGTCTCCATAGCCTTCCCCGTTTCCCGTGCTTCTCCATGTTGCACATCCCACTCTGGATCTTTGACTCCGCTCCTGCATAATCCTGGAGTTCGCACAGGATATCCGCCAGCCTACTAATAATCAAAGATCGGCTGATGTTGCACCCAAGCGTCAAGCATTGCTCAAGAGATCGCCGAGTTATTGCAAATTGCCGAGCAGACTGGAAGTACTTCGCTGCGTAGAGACAGAGTCTGGCAGAGACACCCGATTCCATGACCGAGGGTGTGGGCCATGGTTCCCATGCATATACGGAACTCAGGACCTCGTGCTCGCCTTGGCGCTGGATCAAGTTTTCGATATAAGACAGATGAAGCCTTCCAGCCAGAGCATGCTCTCTTCGAGTAGAAGGCGTGAGGCGCCAAACGGCATGCTGTTGGATCTCAAACTCCGAGCGGATAGCAATACGAGGCCGCTGAGGTTGAGGCGCAGAATTGGCTGAACATATACTGCGTGAAAGCTCTCGCTGAACGTAAGGATCCGCCAGATCCTATAGGACGGAGTTACAGGCGACCTAATCTTAACAAGCTGGATCTTGGAAGAGACGATGGTGATAAAGCTTATACATTGCACATTTCGCGCGTTAATAAACACAGTCTTTACTGTACTGTAACAAGTTCCCTTAGTACCCAACATTTCTATTCTTTCTAAATGAGGTACGCCTTGTACCAAATTGAGATTAAAGTAAAATCAAGGTGATTTGAGGCACAACTCTAGTACTTCAGACTCATAGGGATACAACCAAACTCTTCATTCACGTCTAATAAGAACTATCTGGTTATATACTAGAGATAGCTTTCAAGAAATTTCCCAAGTGCAACTGCACCTCGCACACAAAATCCCGCAACAGCCGATATCGAACCTAAGCCCCATATTACCATCTGAACCAATTGACAAATTGCTGAAGCACACGTATACCTGAAAATTATAATTTAGCAAAATATCATAATCTTTTCTTCATTACAACGATTCTTGGTCTCAGGGATATGTTGTGGATGATGCGAGTATGCGCCTTGAACTTCATGATGCTATCGCAGACAATCCCCTATGCTCTGTATAGCAGGAAAGAGCATGCTACGCGCTCATCTACAGTATGACGAAGGTGAGCATCAACATGGGTCCACATAGAGGTGGTCCTTTTGTATTGCTTGCTGCATAAGATGCAGGGAGATAGCAGTGGTGAAGTTGGTACGGGCGGTACTGAGCTCTCCACGGACGGGCGGAAGACTGCTTCGGTATAAGGGGGTGGAGGCTTGGAAGGTATGTCGGGACTGACAGCAACGACGATCTCGAGCATCGTCATTTCATCGTCAATTTTCGGCGTGAGATGCTGTAAAGTCACTTGACTCGATGTGACTTAGGTCGGCGAGAAGGGTGCGAGCATTTGAAAAGACTGAGGAGGAGCTGGTGTCTTCGGTCGAGGCTGCCTCACGCGGTTCGGCAGCAGTCTGCATAGCTTGCATACGAATGCATATGCAACCCAAAGCATTGATGGCGTTGATCTTTCTCTTTAACAACTCTTCATCTGAATGATCTTCGTCAAGATCGCTAAGAATCTCCGCAATACGCTTCCGTACTAGCGTAGTATAAGTTATAGATAGTAGCTCAGCAGCGTTCTGAATAGCCAGCTCTGTCAGAATGTTGCCAAGGTATTATCGGAGTTGATAGTTATCTTTCATCTGGAAAAACTTGCGATGCATGATGCTGAGGACTTTCCGATATTGCGTTTGTTTGACACTCCTAAGCTCGTTCTCTTTCTGCTTCAGCTGAACCCAGTTGTTACTCAGCATGCGGATTACCTTGCCATGCTTACTCGTTAGGAGCTTGCGGAGGCTGTCTAGAAGTCGGAGAACAAGCGAGCTTGAGCCGATCATCTGCATTATCTCGGCCGGCACTGCTTTTGGGGCGTTCTCATTGCGATGTATGCTCATATGGTTCATGATGGCCAGATAAGGGGAGCTGGTCCCACAGCTCAGGAAGGCGTTCTGCACAACAGCATTCACTTTGGCATTATGGTAGGACTCCTGTGGTTTATGTCGCAATATTTGGTCTCGGACGGACTGCCTATAGTGGCCTGTAGTAAGTCTGTTAGACCAAGCATGCTCAAAGGGCCACGATTTAGCACTTATGATCGACAACTTCCGCAAAGCCCCATCGGTAGCAATATTGTATAAGCTTCTCTTCTAGCTCTGCCTCTTGCCCGAATTGCACAGAATGATTATCAAAGATACAACATATCATTAGCTCATTTAACTTCACATAGCTATCGAGTAACTGAACCGACTTTCGAAAGACGAGCGTATGCTGGAACTCTAGCTTCCATCGGATTTTGATGCTCTGCTAGTTAAGAAGCTTGATTGTAAAGAAGAAGCTAGCACAATCAAACTTGCTTACAGCAATAACTTTCTCATCTAATGCCTTAGCAAGAATATAAGAGATGGGGCATAGAATAAGCAGCTGCTCTCTTCAATAAAGATAAATGTGGTAGGGATCTGCTTGTTCTTCTCGCCTTTATAGTAGCGAAGCAAGACTTGCATTGCGAGATGGTTGCACTCGCTGCTTCCCTCAGAATTGCGCAGAATTCACAAGTCGATATCCTTTCAGTATAAAACCTTAAGTTTTGAATTGTTCTCCCGTTCATCTATGCTGCTACATACTATACATGTTTCTGTGCGTAGCTTCTTAAGTAGATCCTTCTTAACATCAGTATAAGCATTATCCTTCTGATTGTATGCTGCAATCTTCTGAGAGCTGATGCTCAGTATATTATGAATAAGCTCATGTTTCCAACAGCTTGTAAACATGTAGAATAAGCGAAGGCAAGCATTGTTCAGTTAATCAAGTCTGCTGTAGAAGTTTGAGGAATCCTTGACTCAGAGGAAATGCTGCAAGAAAGTGAAGAGATCGGATTCAAGAATGAACTTCTGGTTCAGCTCCCCTCCTGAGCTTGTACCGCAGTGTAATATTAATCTTGATGGCATCCAAGAGGTGCTTCTTGAGAGTCGAATCCATCCTCCTTTCAGCGAATTAATTAGACAAGCTGGTCAGAAATCTGATGCAAACTCGAATAGTATTCTAGCTGCGAATTGGTCTACATTATCCTGTTTCTAACTCATTCATGAGGAAGTGAATGAAGAATGTAGCAAGGCTTCTCGTTTCATACGAGAGCAATAGCAAATGCTGTTTCCAATAAACCCCATCGTTAAGTCTATCGCAAAAATGCTGCTATCGGAGTTTCACATCTGTAAGATGGTATTTGTATCGATCAGAGTATCCTGGTGGAAATGGCTAATGCTGATTATCCCGTACAACGAAGCTGTTGCAGCTCGCTAGAGGTGATGAGTTCGCGCTCATGTTCCTCCAGCATCTGGCTCCAATCGATTTAGAACGCAAAACAGGCCTCCATGATAATCTAGCTGCTGTCTTGATCACGCATGAAGTGCTGTATCCGATGAACACATACCTGATAGCTGCTTAGCATTGCTTTGCTCGGAAATGCAGTAGTTCAATCAAATTTCTACTGAATGCCCTAAAGAAAGACAGATTAAATGTTCAACTTGTCAACGAAGTTCGTGTCAAACGTTGAAAATTCCCCAGTTTTAGGGATTCGGGCTGCATTTCAATTCAGCTGTAGAATCTGTGTCTGCCCAGGCCCAGGACCAGGTCAACACTGTGCCAGAAACACTGTGATGCGGCCATGCATGACTGGGTACCTGACCTCTTTGCTCTGACATTCCCATGTACGCCCATCATCACACCTCGCAGTGAGTTCGTTCATGGAATTACGATAATTGAATTGAATCCCGCTCTTGATTCTTCATGAGGCGCTAGCAGAATGTGCAGGTTTGTCCGCCCCAAGGAAAAAGAAACAATCGACAAAGGTAGCAAACGTGCAGTACGGCTCAGATCAAATGACCGTGCTGGCAAGGGGGAAGGAGAGGCCCGATCATGTCGACTTTGAGGCTGGGCATTTCAAATTTAGATAGTGATGTGGTCATGGGTGAAGAATTTTGGGGAAACCCCCCGCCCAATACTTGCAATTTTGCCATAACCAAGACAACATCACTGTAGGCCAGCCCAAGGTCAGGTCTTCTTCCAAGCGCAAGCCTTGAGTCCAGTCTCAAGTATTCTTGCAAGCTCAGGGCTCCATATACCCCCCTTCCCCAGGGCCATGAGCTACCGCGTATCGGGGTCGGACAGTAAGAAGTTGGTCCAGCTCAAGGAGGTCGCTAAACAGGACGCTGGCGAGGGTACCCGTAGACCTGCCGACTCTGAGGAACATAATAGGGGCTCTGCCGTCGGTGAGTTCCACGAGCCTCTTGTCCACAGTGCCAATGAGCCTCTCGAGCTAGACAAGCACATTAGAGAGCTTGCTGCCATCGACAACACCGAAGACCGGGCCCAGCCGGAGCAGCAAGCTGAGAAGCCTGCCTTCGACCACAATATCAACTTGCCTCCCCAGCTCAAGGATAAGATGGTAGCTGCCGTCATCATAAGACTATTCAGCCCGTTGTTCTTGTTGCTAGCCAGCCCAGTGGGCACGAGGACCAGATACGAGACCCCCGAAACCACCATGCCCTTCACGCTGCCCGGCTTGTTATCGACTATAATTCTCAGGCTATTGCTGACGGTAGCACCAAGGCTGCCCTTCTTGAGGAGTATGCCGGACAGGCCGCTGTTCATGCTGTCAACAAAGCTGGCCAGCCTGTGGGAGACAGTGAGCGGTATACTGGTGATACTGCGCAGCCTGCTTAGCCTGGAGAAGATGCTGAGCAGCAGCTCGCTGTCAACGATACTAAGGAGTGAGGACTCGCTGGATACCTGATTTTTCTGCTTGACGAGATGATCGAGGCGCTTTTCAAGCCCATCAGCAACCCCAGCCTTCAGGCCCGCATGATGTTCCCTGATCCTCAATGCCTCGCCAGTCCTCCAGCCTTTCTGATGCGGCAAACTTTTGTCCAACAGGCTCACGAAGCCAAGGCGAAGCACCGAGGACATGTCACCTTGGCCGCCATGCAGGATCCGGGTGTCCCCGGCCAATCTGTAGAATCCGCCATACAATTCGCCGACCCATTCCAATTCCGGAACCTGAACACAAACCAA